CAGCTTGCTGACGGGATTAACCTCTTTGGTCATGTGGACAAGGCGTCCGACCTCTGATCAGATTGTCCGTGGTTCGAATCCCATCACGGGACTCGGGAATTTTATGGCCGCTACATAATGAAGCTAAAAAATTGGAATGATCTCGAACTTTGGCTTAATAAATATGTTTCACCCAAAAATATGTTGACAAATTACTTATTTGGTTTGGTTCTAACTACTCTAATACTATCAATCAGTGGCATATTCATGTACATGTTTGTTAGTCCTTGGTCCCAGAGAGAAAATTTGGCAAATTGGTACCACTTGTGGGGGGGGGGGGGGGGGGGGGGGGGGCAAAGGGACATATGCATTTTTGTACAGCCTAGTATACATTAGTCATATTATGATATGATAGCAAGGTTTTTACGGCAGCTTATTTATAGAAATGACCTTTGACATTTGAGGGTGTCTTAAAATAGTAACAAATATTAAACATTGGAAATGAAAGATTTTCTGTCCCTTTTACCCATTTAAAGCATAAATATGTATGTCTTATTGATTCTTTAATATCATATAGCCATATGTATGCTCATCTGGGTTATGAAATGATAATATGTAATTATTTAAGACCTTTTTCGTAAGTTGGACATTATTTTGTCCACCACAAGGTATCAAAATCCCAATAATAGAAAATAGAATCTGTTAGCACTCTTGATTGTCATTAAGGTTTTGTCTACTGATTCTCAATCCACAATTCCATTGAAACACAACTAAGTCACACTTGAATTCATGGTACCTACATGCACTAGTGTGTCCAAGGTCAAGGTCAACATGAGAGAACATGTCTAAATAGTCAGAGATAACATGCAATCCCTCTTTATGCTGAGTTGTTGAGATACGTGAAGACTCTATGTCCATCTTATTAAAGAGTGAAGTGCTGTCCTAAAAACTGTCTTCCAAGGTAAGCTGTTCTTCAACAAATACAGGCTGGATCTCACATAGAAGAGCATGGGGTGAATGACTACTGTCCTTGTAGTAATGTTGAAAATATTGACATCCACAAATCCTTTCTCTCTGTCAGTAATCAAGTTGGGTGAGATGTCAAGGTCATCGGTAATAGCTGAATGGCTAGTTCTTTGCAATATAGCACAAATATTCTGTTAGGGAAGCGCCTTGTCAGTGATAGTGACGTCTGAGTTGGGTGGAATGACAAGCTTCCCAACTCCTGTGCACTTGACTAATCCAAGCTGAAATTGTCTTCTCTCAAGCTCCCATTCCTGTAGCACGATGCCTATGCTTGAGGGTTGTTTAACCAGCATTGTAGGCGTCTAAGACCTGCCTTACTTCAGGCTTTTCTCCCAAATAAGAGCTGACATTAAAATACACTTGATGATATCTACACAATCACAAACATTATCAGTTCAAGTCAATCTTCTTCGTCTCCACAACTGTCGCCTGACTCGCTCTCCTCACCAAAGTTGGTGCATGTTTGGAGTTTGCACATGCTAGTACAGGTCAGTCCATTTAAGATGCATGTGCAGCTGGGAAGTTTGCATGACTTGGGACACTTGCAGGCTAACAGCTGCAACACAGCTTCAGGCGCTGGAAGACCACTCATCCAGTCAACTGCCAGGTCGTATCCATCAGCCGTCTGTTCCATGGTCCATCCAAAGCCATCAGGTGATGGGATGTTTGGCCTGTTGTCGAGAGCTTTCTTCCATATTGCTGTTTGATAGTTGGCTCTCTGTAAATGTTTCATCAAACAATCCCTGCATGGTGGAAGTTGGTGGGATTCCATTTCACCTTTTTTTGAAAGGAAAAGGTTGTGCCGCAATATATTCACATGCTTGAGAGAGAAACCATACAAAGAGCAAGTAAACTCCTCAAGTATGGAAAACACTTCTTCTGGCAACTTATGATGGAGTCCCAGTTCTTTGAAGCAGGCTTGGTACTTCTTGTTACCTTTAAGTAATCTCAAGGCAGACAGTTTACCTTTCCCAGCAAAGGAGCTGATGGTGTCACATCCTGTGAAGGCATGGCATCCAAGAATGGCTTCAGATACATTTTGTCCCAGTGCCTTCCTAACATTGGATATACTGATGAATCTTGTTCTGTTTCTTGTTCCAAGCTTCATGTAGACATCCGACTGCAGGTGGGAAAGCAAAGACAGGCATAGGAGAAATACATCAGTATCCTCAGAACATACAATAATGGTTCTGTAACCTTGAGTTGATGCATGGCTGGCATGAAGAAGAAGTCGAGTATCTGCTTCTTCTTGTGTTTAATTCCTCTATATAGTCACAGCTTTCTGGACTAAGCTGAATGCAATCCTCTCCACATGTGATGAACAAGTTCTTGTTGCCAATCTTAGAAGTAATTTCTCCTTCTTCCACTCCATGACGAGAAACTGGATGAGATTCTGCTTGTTGCATGAACTAGACAGAAACTTTCGCCATTGTCTGATGTTGTGACCATGTGCGATGTTCTTAAACTGTGTTCCTGTACCAGCTCCACGATGACTTCTTTCTGCATTCTTGATGGACACATCTTTGTACACATCGAACACTACGTCAATTCGTTGACTTTTGTCTCCTTCGTGCAAAATCGGTACAAAAAATGTCATCAGCAACAGTTTGGAAAGTCTTGTTATCACCCTTGATTTTCTGTACAATTGCCATTCCATCAATCAAAGTACAAGATGGTTCTGGAATAGTTTCTGATAATGGTGCAGTTTTCTCCAATTCCCTGGCCAAACTTGATTTACTTGTCTTTCTGACTGATCCATCAGGGTATGCAAGTGACAGTGGTAAAGGTCCAAGGGGGTGGCTGAAAACAGATTTCATATTGAGTTGTCTGCTCTGTACTATTATGACCATATGAGAAAACAGATTTCTATCTGCTCTGAGCACTACTTCAGCTTGACTAGTTTGAACCTTTTGCTTCTTCTTGGTCAGATTGCTGAATTGTTACTTGGCAGCCGATCGTGAAATTTCTGCAATGGAGGGTTGGAGGTCAGACCCAATCTGAACAGAAAACCCACCATTCTCCAGGTATTTCAGAATGTCTCTGTGAGTAGAGGACAAATGTGACATTTGACCAAGATATGCTGATAGGTATCGGGCATAGTTTTGCTTGTCATATGAAAAGCACCAAGGTGTAATGGATATGATGCAGGATAAATGCAGCAGCCAGTTGCCTTCCCTTGAAGCACGGATTAGACCCAAAACATTCTCAACCATGTCTGTATAGGATGTCCAGAATGCAGACATATCTCCATGTCCCTTCCTCAGAAAGTCTTGGTACTGCTGAAAGGCTGATATTGTATTTGTGTATGATGCATCTTCATGGAGAGCTTCAAACGCTTCTTTGTCAACATTGTCATGCAAATACGCAACCTTCTCAAGTGCCGACTGAACAGTTGTTACCAACCCCCCACTGTTGTTTTCTGCAACCCATTGTTGAAAAACTTTCCACTGAAGTCTCATCAGTGCTTCATATACGACTTTATGGACCTGCACTGCATGATTGTAATGTCGCCCTTCAAAGACACCTGGGAATGAACCCTCAGCAAGGATCCCAGCTTCAACACAAAGGTCCTTCAAACCAGCATCTTGGAAGAGTTTACCTATGACACCTAGGAATGTACATGCTGTGTGAAAAGAGCCAAGTCTCAAGATGATATTGCCAAATATATTGAAGCCAGTCCATGAACTGATTTTCTGTTGTTGGATGTTACGAAGTCTTGCAAGAATCCATGTTAGGTTTTTCTTCATTGATTCACCCATAGCTGATTCCGAGGGAGAGCATGGCGCTGGTATTGCTGGTGGTCCAACTCTTTCTCCTGCATTGTACAGCTGTAACAATGGAACAACTGAGTCAATGGTGCGTCTTCTTGTCTTTTCTACTGATGGAGCTGGATGTTTATCAAGATGTGGGCCATGGATGGTAGGCTGGATTGCTATACCATTCACTCTGTGGGAAGTGCCTCCTCCTGTCATAGTTTCCTCAAGGCGGTCAATGTTATCCCATGTAAGTGTAGTAACAACATGAGGGTGAATGTTTTGTGGTAGTGGTACAGCATCTTCTTCATCCCATGCTAGCTTTTGGAGGCATATTGCAGTCTCAATTTCTTCAAATTTTGGGCGTGAAACAGCATGACCAAAACGGTTCAAAATTTGAATAATTTCAACATTGCCAGTGAGAGTCTTGACAGCAAACGGAAGCAAAATTTGCTTGGGTGTAATTGTTTTACCACCAGTCACTGCATAAACAAGGTCTTGACCAACGGAGTCTGAAAGAATTTTTGTTTTCTCCGACATGAATTCTGGTTTCACATCTCCAGTGAGAAGAATTTCCAAAAACTCTTTGACAAGAAGAGGAACAAACTTGGATGGATTTTTCAAATCTGATGGTTGTGGTGGCCATGGCAATTCGTCTTTCATATTCTTTATACACTTGCGCAGTAGAATTGCAGCTTCCTGTACAACTTTCTCTGCGTCACTCTTTGTCCTCCAAACATTCAACTCTTTTGCATCTTTTGATTTTCTCTGGCAATGGTTTCAATGGTAGGGTGTTGGGTAAAAGAAGAAGCTTGCCATTGTTGTCAGTAAATATGTGAAGGCTGTCACCAAATTCAGAACTAAGTTTACGATGCAGGTGCTTCATTGTTGATCCCTTGATTTCCTTGCATCCAGCATTTTCAAGCAGACTTCTCAACTGACTAGCAAGGTCTGTCATCTTGAGCACAGATGGGTTTGAAAATCGATGACTAATATATTTACTATTGGTGCTCATACTCAATCAAACGTACATGTGTTGAATAGTCACAATGCCGAAAAGCCTTTTAAGTTTAATTGATTCCATATGTTTCTACACCGTTTTGGTGCATTCTCTCAATGTATAATCATATCTGTAGCAAAAAAACAGTTTACCTAATTTCTATATGCATAACAATTTGCTGAGAATATTGTTCCAGCAATATCGTTGACAGTGCCACGTCAATTCTTTGTCCTGTATAAAGCTGAGCAGGCCCGGGCACTTCTATGAACTGATGAGCTAGTGAACCAGAAGAACATTTTGATAACGTCGATTGTTTCCCGTTTCTAACATGAAGTTCTCATCTACAGTTTTGGTTGGGCTTGTCATAGCTATTGTAATGTCTGCAGTGCTAGCAGAAGAGAAGGTACGTTAAGTTTTACATGTGTTAGTTTACTGTTGCATAAGTGGTGCCTGGCCTCGTGTTGTTACACATTCGTTGTGAAAATTTCAGTTCCCCACATTATTCAATATACGTTTAGGTATTTACATGTTTGTGGTAGCAATAAATGTAATAGGACAAGGTCATATTCCAAATCAACAAATACAAATCTTCCAGTAAAATGAAAGGAAGATTTCAATTGACAAACTGTCTGTCTATCCGTGTGAAATTACTACATTCCGTACGAGTATTGTACCTTTAAGTTAATTGAACATGCGACCAAAGGTCTATGTGATGGTCATGAATGGTATTTGCAATCATTCCGTGTCAAATTGTTATATCAATCTGTATATTGTGTACATGTATAAGTTCGGTAATGTTTGCCTCAGGTCATTATTGACCTGAAAGCAGCTTGATCTGCAATGTTCACAGACATGTGATTATTTTCTCAGAGCCGTCGGGGAATAAACAGTTATCAAGGAAGCCACCTGGGAATAAACAATAATCAAGGAAACCGCCATGGAATAAACAGTTATCAAGGAAGCCATCATGGAATAAACAGTTATCCACGAAGCCGTCATGGAAGAAACATTTATCAACGAAGACGTTTCAGGAGTGCCTAAGCAGTAAATGCTTTTGCAATGCCACATACCACACAGGTAGATTTCGAAACATTTTGACTGAAAATAACCAAGATATGCTATTCCTTTTCTCAAATCAGACAAATACCTCACACTTCACTTAAGCATATGCACTATTTAACAACGCTGACAAGAGCAATATTCAAATACTTTCATGTAGAAGAACGAAGATCACTTTGTTGAATAAGCAAATTATTTGGAAATAGCCAGGCTTAAAACGATTAGTATCAGGCAATATTCATTCACCAAAACACATATTTTCATGGACGTATAATGTAGGATGATTTTTAAAATAGCAGTTCTTATGTTTCAGGTTGATACGGTCTTGTCTGGAGTATAATGTGCAAATTCCAGGATTTCTCTTTTGTTGTATGAGGAGCAAAATGAAAGTGTATTGTTTTGAGAATGGAAATAAATGCCAAAATATATTTCATTGTTTTTGTATGTACTTTGTAGTTAATTACTATGAGTAGTTTATTCGCTGTTTTATATCTCCTAACCTTTAATATAGATGGTCGAGTCGTCTTAGGCTCTTTGATTCGATGTACAAATTTGCGTCTAAACACGGTTTTCCCTGATTATGTTTCGTGGTTTGTCAGTACCATTTCCGTGCTGGTGTTAATTGATGAACGTTTTTTAACATATATCTCTCTATACATTACTTCTATACGTATACTTATTGCATGCATTGGTTTTGCATTGAGCAGTACTATTTTATTTTGTAAGCGTTTTAGTTGATTGGTTTGTTGTTTAACGCCGCACTCAGCAATATTCCAGGTATATGACGGCGGTCTGTAAATAATCGAGTATACTTATTGCCTTCTCATGATGGCATAAAGAATGAGGAGAACAATACATTTAAATTTTACTTTTTTAGGCGTACAACAATTTAAATGTCAGGTTATATCTTGTGATGAGAGCATATGTTGCATGATTTTGTGATCTTTGCAATTGAAATCCTCTCACGTTTTCAAACAGCTCTCACTCTGTATTCGTGGTGACTTGACTATGTTGATTTGCCTTCAGAAGGGATAATTATTTCAAAGCATCGTCAGTAAATGATCCTTTTGAGAAATACAAACATTCACTTTATCATTGTTTTGTTTAAAAGAAAATAATTTTTTAATTTGAAGTTTACACGATATACGGCGTTTCCATTGGACGAGAGGTCGGTAACATGACCGCGAAATTGACGTTCATAGGTGTTTCACGAGATCGTGTTCTTGAAATGACGTAAACACTGACGGACTTCTTCCACATTCCTGGGGAAACCCCTGGGAATTCCCTAGCACGAAAACATACATAAGCGTTCTTTCTGATCATTAAGAACCTTTATTCTTGGTCTCAGCGTTTCAGTATACATTGAGAAATGTCGGGAGCGTGATTGCATGATTATTCACGAATATCCTCGCTGCGGCCTATCCTAATGAACAAACGAAGAAATGCACATCTAAACTATCGTAGTATCGACTCAATCCGTGCCTAGGCTGACATTGACCGTCTCCAGCAATCTATGAATTTACCTTAGTGTCTGTTTGACGCATCTTTATTCACCTTTCAATGATCGGCCAGTTGATCAATGATGACTGACACATGTAACCGCCACAGGTTCATTAACAACTTCGGAAATCTCTCCCGTCACGTTTATCGTGTCGGCCATTTTGACGTCTTGTACTTGATGTAAATGTATTACGACGCGCTGTCATTGTGACTGACTTACTGAGGTAGTTCTTTACAGACCTTTCTCATTTAATGAGGATATGATTTGAACACATGTGCTGCGTAAGATGTTTCTGAAGAGCAAGTTGTGCATCCATACTCCCATGTCACCTCTCTTTTTGAGGAACTATTTTACTCCGCGATATAGCTGGTTGTTGTATGGCTGTCAGTGTAAACATGAAGTCACACGTACTAAATAAAATTGTGTTTAGATCTTGGCCTACATCCTTTGAGATAAGAAATTGTGTTAAAAAATTATAAGAATTCACTTTCACTTTGTGTGAGTTCATTGGAGTATGAACCTTCATAGAGTGAGGGCCAAACATTGTATGAACGTCGGAGCTTGCGACAGTTTGGCCCTCACTCTATGAATGTTGATACTCTTATGAACCCACACAAAGTGAAGGTCAATTCTTAATTGAAATGATTCACAAATTTTGATTAACATGTTTTGTATAAGATAAATGATTTTTAGATTGGTAATATAAGGTGACTGTGCCTTCGTCGGATGTTGAGATAACGTAAAACGATTGTCCCCCTTTTTGCTTGAATATAATAGCCCTGTAGCCCTGGTGTTAGTAGTCGGCTTCCTCTACAACACAGTCCTTGTTGACACTCCATTGTTGGAGGGGAGCAGGGGTGTCGTGTAACTTTCTTTCATTATAACTACCCCACATTTATCTGGTTCTCACTCAAAAAGTAAACAAAGGGATATTGATACAGATCCTGCAATATCTTCAGATGAATATTCTGTACCCAATATTGATTGGTGGCCACGATTTCTGGTTGTTGAAGGTGTTGATGGTGTAACCCTCAAAATCATCCCCTTTGTAGTGTCAAAATCTATTGAAGGAATATGTGGAACTGTAAAAATTGTTACTCATCTCTGGTCCGGTTCATTGCTTGTGGAATGTGTACTGAGACAACAATCTCTAAATCTGCTCCAGGCACATCATTTCGCAGATGCTGAGATTGTTGTCGCAGTTCACAACACTCTGAAATCCTGGTATTATCCATGACTGCACAAAATGTCAGAGGAGGAAATTGCCGCAGAGCTGAAAAATCAAGGTGAAATTGTGTTTCTGTGTTTCCAAGGGTTTATATGGAGAAATTCATGTTTGATGACCAAGTTCAAGCGTCTTTACAGCTATTAATTTTAAAATAAAGTCTTTGTCTTTGTAACGATTGTAACTGATATGACTAAGTGTATTATCCCAGGAAATCAAAGATGGCAAATAATTGGCATGCACCAAACTGGCATGTCATGTCGGGCTATTGCAACCGTGTTGAACATTAATCATATTTTACTTTGTCGGCTCATAAGGAAACACACCTTGACTGAACATGTGAGATGTTTGCCGAGATCAGGACGCCGATAAAAGACCAGAGCCAGAGAGGACAGGGTCATAGTAATCCCGGCAGAATGTCTGCCAGCTCGTCGTTAACTGGCATTCTAACAACAGTGTCCATCAGGCGTCGACTGAATGCAGCAGGATTAAGGACCAATAAGACGTTCCCGTCTCTCATACTAACACAACCGGGACCGTTAAGCCTGGTGTCAGGCTGGAGCATCCTGGAACTTGAAGTTATGGAGGAGGATTCATTGGCCTGACCAGAGTCGGTTTTCACACTGATTGAAGGACTCGTGTGTGGAGGCAAAGGGGAACATCTTGTCATCAGCGCAACATCCAGGAAACAGTGGTATGGGGATTTTGCTCCTTTGATTCTTAACTTGATTTGAGCACATTTCAGGGGACATTAATTGGACAAGATAACATACTGGACGGTTTTGTTGTACCTCATTTTGATAACTATGCACATGCCTTCATTGACGACAATGCCCGACCGTACCGAGCATGGGCTGTGACTGACCATGTCCAGAACAAACGCCACTGAGACTCTGCCTTGGCCTTCTCGAAGCCCAGACCTGAATCCAATCGTTTATCAATGGGATCAGTTGGGCGTAGGGTTAGAGCCAAGGACCCTCCAGTACAGCTAGAATCGCTAAGAATTGACCCGGGGCATTGCATTAGGGATGACAACACATCTTTCAGTTGAGGATCAGGCTTTTGATTTGGAGCATAAGAAGACGTTCTGATCCGTGAATGGAATAGCTACAGCAGATATCGACTTACACTTTTCATCATTTAACTGTGACATGAGTACATCGCTACAAAGACCCGCATGTGTTTATCTGTCCATCTCATTCTTAACAGTTACCATTCATATTTTGCCTCTATTTATTCCCGATTACAGTCCTAGTCGCTAGCAAATAAAGTTGTTGTTTTTTCTAATGCTCATATTTCCTTTTATTCATGAAAATAACATTACGTAACAGTTGTGATTGCTTTTGGTTCGCTTTACAGCTTCTCCTTACTCAGGGTACAAAGTGTGAAGCCCATTTCTGGTGTCCCCCGCCGTGATATTGCTGGAATATTGCTAAAAACGGCGTAAAACCATACTCACTCTCCTTAGTTACTCATCTGTTTTCTGATTATGAAAAAGTCTTGGTGGCGTGATGCTTTCGACGAGGTGGACTAGTCTAGGTACATCCAATATGTAGTCTTTATTTTCTGAATCAGAAGAAGCATGGTCCCCGGAGCTGTCAAGTACAAATTGTACAGTAAAATCCCATAAATCGACCACATTAATGTGTAAAAGTGCTCCTGTTCACTATACATATATATAGCTTTGATAATAGATACAACAGATGAGGTGGGATGGGGTTTAAGGTCGCGTTCAGGGTTATTTCGCTTATATAGCATGCACTTATGCCGGTTTTATAGTCCTAGCCCAGTAACACACACACACAAGTTACGTGTGGTGACATACTGTTACAGGTTACTTCTCAACACAAGGAAGCAAGTCGCTCAAGCCCTTTTTATACATGTCATGGTGGCATACTGGACTTACATTGGGGCCTAGTGGCATACTGGTACAGTAAGGGGATTCTGAAAGATATATCACGTCACATCTTTACATGGGTCGGTCCCCATTTCCATCACTACATGTAGTCTAAATTCTAACCTAACATATACTGAACCGTTAATAAACGTCACCATGGATAGATATATGAGAAACCATATTTGTCCAAGCACTGTAAACATACTTTAAGACATATTATAAAGATGAAACCTGGCAAAACTGATCATCAAGGTTGAAATGAAAGTGTCAAATGCTCAAATGTTACAACTCGTTTCTCACGCAGTCAATCTTTACATTCATGGTGAAGAAGGCATAATTCATGCACCAATCTTACACCCTCATTCAGATGAATTTAATTTAACAATAAAACCTTCATTGATGCCAATTTCGGAAAATGGCTTGATAGTTCTGTATGCTGCAGATGATTCATGTGAAGTCGCGGAACACTCACAGATGGTTGATCAGCAGGAACGAAGTAAATGTTCAGAAGAATTCCGTCATCAGTCTTAGTTTCCAATACTTATAAGCTCAGTCATGATAAATATGTGTGTTTTGGGTGAACAATTGACTTGCCTTTGCATGTGTTAGTGACGGGTACCACTAGATGATCAGGACACGCCCACCATTTCGCGAACAATGTGTTAGTGACGGGTACCACTAGATGATCAGGACACGCCCACCATTTCGCGAACAACTTGGTATGATCATTATATGATAAACACATGCTTATGATAGAGTCGGACTTTTAGCAGCGATTTATTAAGATTTTGGAAAAGGCTTTGAC